TGGGTTTGGCGGATTCCAGGAGAACGCTACCTTCCCCGATAAATAGTGCCAACTGTAAGGTTTGGTGGAGGAATAATGGTCTGGGGCTGTTTTTCATGGTTCGGGCTAGGCCCTTAGTTCCAGTGAAGGGAAATCTTAACGCTACTGCATACAATGACATTCTAGACGATTCTGTGCTTCCAACTTTGTGGCAACAGTTTGGGGAAGACCCTTTCCTGTTTCAGAATGACAATGACCCCGTGCACAAAGCGAGGTCCATACAGAAATGGTTTGTCGAGATCGGTGCGGAAGAACTTGACCTACCTGCACAGAGCCCTGACCTCAACTCCATCGAACACCTTTGGGATGAATTGGAATGCCGACTGCGAGCCAGGCCTAAATCGCCCAACATCAGTGGCCGACCTCACTAATGCTCGTGGCTGAACGGAAGCAAGTCCCCGCAGCAATGTTCCAACATCTAGTGGAAAGCCTTCCCATGAGAGTGGCGGTTGTTATAGCAGCAAAGGAGGGACCAACGCCATATTAATACCCATGATTTTGGAATGCGATGTTTGACGAGCAGGTGTCCACATACTTTTGGTCATGTAGTGTATTTGTGCGTTCGGTCTTCGTCCTTGCATAAGCTCAAGCAGCAAATGTTACAGGTCTTTCACTGATCCAGATAAGCCCAGAAACTAGGAAATATGTTTTAACCTTGTAAAGTGGTTCTCAGTTAATATAAGACGTTTTGGCAGCTGTATTTAGCCTACAAGGGCAATCATTGCTTTTGCCTGCTAGCCAAACTAAAGACAACATTGTTTGCTAGCTTGCACAACTCTCAATACATTCAAGGTCCCGACAGCTTCAAAAACAGCTGTTCTGGCATCTTTAAAAAAAACATTTACCACCTTTCAACAACCTCTTATCTCGTATTATTTTGGGATTCTTTTGGTCCGGTACATACAGTGCCTTCAGAAATTATTCAAAATGGATGAAAAATATTCTCACCCATTTACACACAATAACATCACTAGCACATTAGAGGCTGATTTAATTTGATACCCTATAATGAAAAAGTTTAGAAATGTTGGCAAATTCATTTAAAATTAAATACAGAAATCTAATTTACATAATGTATTGACTCAGGGGTGTGAATACTTGTAGAAGCACCTTTGGTGGCTATTAAAAGGTTTGAGTCATTTTGGGTATGTTTGTATCAGCTTTGCACATCTGGATTTTGGGATTTTCTCCCATTCTTCCTTGCAGATGTTCTCAAGCTCTGTTAAGTTAGATGGTGAGCAGCGGTGAACAGCAATCTCTAAGTCTTTCCACAGATTTCCAAATTGTCCTTCTTACCCCGTTGCTCAGTTTGGTCAGACGGCCAGCTCTAGGCGGTCTGGGTATTTCCATATTTTTTCAATTTCCCAATGATGGAGACCACTGTGCTGTTGGAAAATTTCAACACTCACGTCTGGAAGAAACCTGGCACCATCCCTACGGTGAAGCATGTTGGTGGCAGCATCATGCTGTGGGGATGTTTTTCAGCGGCAGGGACTGGGAGACTAGTCAGGATCGAGGGAAAGATGAACGGAGCAAAGTACAGCGCGATCCTTGATGAAAACCAATTTTTATCATAGGTACACTTCAACTGTGAGAGACAGAATCTAAAACAAAAATCCAGAAAATCACATTCTATGATTTTTAAGTAATTAATTTGCATTTTATTGCATGACATAAGTATTTGATCACCTACCAACCAGTAAGAATTCCGGCTATCACAGACCTGTTAGTTTTTCTTTAAGAAGCCCTCCTGTTCTCCACTCATTACCTGTATTAATTGCACCTCTTTGAACTCGTTACCTGTATAAAAATACACCTTTCCACACACTCAAACAGACTCCAACCTCTCCACAATGGCCAAGACCAGAGAGCTGTGTAAGGACATCAGGGATAACATTGTAGACCTGCACAAGACTGGGATGGGCTACAGGACAATAGGCAAGCAGCTTGGTGAGAAGGCAACAACTGTTGGCGTAATTATTAGAAAATGGAAGAAGTTCAAGATGACGGTCAATCACCCTCGGTCTGGGGCTCCATGCAAGATCTCACATCGTGGGGCATCAATGATCAAGAGGAAGGTGAGGGATCAGCCCAGAACTACACGGCAGGACCTGGTCAATGACCTGAAGAGAGCTGGGACCACAGTCTCAAAGAAAACCATTAGTAACACACTACGCCGTCATGGATTAAAACCTGCAGCGCACGCAAGGTCCCCCTGCTCAAGCCAGCGCATGTCCAGGCCCGTCTGAAGTTTGCCAATGACCATCTGGATGATCCAGAGGAGGAATGGGAGAAGGTCATGTGGTCTGATGAGACAAAAATATAGCTTTTTGGTCTAACTCCACTCGCCGTGTTTGGAGGAAGAAGAAGGATGAGTACAACCCCAAGAACACCATCCCAACCGTGAAGCATGGAGGTGGAAACATCATTCTTTGGGGATGCTTTTCTGCAAAGGGGACAGGACGACTGCACCGTATTGAGGGGAGGATGGATGGGGCCATGTATCGCGAGATCTTGGCCAACAACCTCCTTCCCTCAGTAAGAGCATTGAAGATGGGTCGTGGCTGGGTCTTCCAGCATGACAACGACCCGAAACACACAGCCAGGGCAACTAAGGAGTGGCTCCGTAAGAAGCATCTCAAGGTCCTGGAGTGGCCTAGCCAGTCTAAAGACCTGAACCCAATAGAAAATCTTTGGAGGGAGCTGAAAGTCCATATTGCCCAGCGACAGCCCCGAAACCTGAAGGATCTGGAGAAGGTCTGTATGGAGGAGTGGGCCAAAATCCCTGCTGCAGTGTGTACAAACCTGGTCAAGACCTACAGGAAAAGTATGATCTCTGTAATTGCAAACAAAGGTTTCTGTACCAAATATTAAGTTCTGCTTTTCTGATGTATCAAATACTTATGTCATGCAATAAAATGCAAATTAATTACTTAAAAATCATACAATGTGATTTTCTGGATTTTTGTTTTAGATTCCGTCTCTCACAGTTGAAGTGTACCTATGATAAAAACTACAGACCTCTACATGCTTTGTAAGTAGGAAAACCTGCAAAATCGGCAGTGTATCAAATACTTGTTCTCCCCACTGCATGCCTCATCACAATTATATCTCGGAGATCTACGGACAGTTCCTTGGACTTCATGGTATAGTTTCTGCTCTGACATGCACTGTCAACTGTGGGACCTTATAAAGACAGGTGTGTTTCTTTCTAAATCATGTCCAAACAATTGACAACAGGTGGACTCCAATCAAGTTGTAGTGAAATCTCAAGGATGATCAAAGGAAATTCAGCTTTACCTTTCCCTTTGGTGTCATAGCAAAGAGTTGTGAATACTTATGTAAATGGTTTATCTGTATTTTATAAAAAAAAAATTAAAAAATTGTAAAAAAATTGTACAAATGTCTAAAAGCATGTTTTCACTTTGTCATTATTGGGTATTGTGTGTAGGATGGGGTGAGAAAAATAATTTAAATACATTTTGAATTCAGGCTGTAACTACAAAATGAGGAATAAGTCAAGGGGTATGAATACTTTCTGAAGGCAGTGTATGTTGCTTTCTGCAAGCATGGACAACAGAACGTGTGTAACAATTGTAACCAAGGTGTAACATGGCAACCTCATGTCGCTAGGGGAAATTACCCAAAATGCACTATGATTTTGCAATAGTACCTTTGATTTATAATATTTAATTGTGCAACTTTTACAAGTTTTGAACCACTCAGTGTTCATATTCATTATCTAGATAAACTTTGCGGTTTTGTTTCGTGGGTCATGAAATGCCATTTCCGAAGCCTTTTTTTGTGGGTGGCACTTGGACTAATGGTAGGGAGGAGGGAGATCAAAATAAAAGATGGCGAGAGAAAACGTCAGACTTTGACAATTCATGTATGCCCAGTCAATTACATATGGAAATGGAATATCATTCTCTTCCAAGTCTACAAAGGGAATAGTAATAAAGTATTTCCTAAAATAACTCAGTGATTTCCTGTACAGCTACAGAGCTCTGGGCTGATGTCTAGTACTCTCATGGGGGGGATACGTAGGCTCAAAAGGGGGACACACAGCATCGATTCATGCTCCAGAAACTCCCCTGAAATTGGTAGTTTACTGACAGACCACAGCTTAATTAGCTAATGACCTAGATATTCTCCACAGACAGATCTCAGATCTTAAATCTTGTCAAAATATAATGAATGGATTCTCAATGGTACCCAGTCAGGACCTCCCATAGTGCAGTGTCACTATCACTCCAATTAAGTATCCATATCTAAAGCAACACTCGACAGCCAGCAGTCCCAACAGGACTATACAATAGTTGTTTGTGCCATTTACAATTCATCCCCACCTGTTCATAGTCTTTGCTGTGTTACCCCAACCTAGGGAGTAGCATGCATTGCACTTCACTCAGCAGCGGAAACCCTTCTAGAAGAAGAGGTTCGTCCATGGTCATTCAATATTAAAGCCATGTAACCTTGCCAACATGCAGAGGCACTGTGCTGGTTGTCGTGCAGTTTCCAGAGCAGGGGCTGCACAGAATACGGCATTAGGTATAGCAGCCACCGTGCCTTAGGATTGCCTTTTTTTTTTTTGTCAAGCTTGATAAAAAGATCTCGAAAATAAATGAAAGCTGGCAAAAGATCCTTTTGGATGAAAAGCCTAAGCAGCAAAATGGGTAAGGGGTATCGATCCATCGATAGGAGAATGAACACTCCCTTTATAGTTACCACGTCTGCATTTTCTGGCAGGCATGCAGATAGACAGATAGATAGGTTAAGAGACAGACATGGCAGGAATAGGGCAACAAATTAGACTGATGCCATACTCATGTAGACAGTGATACCGAGTTAGACAAAAACTAATGAGGACAGAAGCGACAGAGACAAAATGAGGAGAGGGAAAAGACAGAGAAAGACAACAGGAGAGAGACGGAAGAGAAAGGAGAAGCAAAACAACAAGCCCGCATTGGCAGCACCCCAGCACCGCATGAAGGGGTGGAGGGGAGGAGAGGACGTGGGAGGTCTACAGAGGGCTGACCGTAGAGGCACTCGGGGAGGTCTTGGCCGGAAACCAGACAGTTCATGAGGAGGCGCAGGTGGTAGGGGCACTGGTGCAGGTGGTGGGCCATGGCCCTGTCCAGAGAGGCCAGAGAGGGACAACACAGGAGGACCGGGTCAGTGAAGAGCCCCTTCAGCAGCTGGGATACATGATGCTCGTCTAGGGGCTCTGAGGAAGAAGAGGCAGAGCGAGGAAGAGAGCACAGTGGAAGAGGAGTAGAAGAGGAGCAAAAGGCTGTAGGTGGGCCAGCATTTGCATAATGCTAAAGGGGCAGAGACTACTTTCCATTCAAAAGAAACAACGCTACAGGTCCCAGGCTCTCATCCACTCAACTGACATATGGAAAGAAAACAAAAAAAAACTGTCCAGAGCTACAGTTCTCACCATCTGATATTCATGGGGTAATGCACATTGGAATTCTAAACTGGTAGAAACGTTTCCAGGCATGTCAGTCATAATGCCCCTTTCCTCTCCATGATCACCATTAGTCACAAGGCTTATCTGTCTTAGGAGTGTAGAAGATCAAAGGGCAATGTTTTCTATACAGACACTGAACTGCAACTACAAACAAGGCATCAATGTTTTCATTTAGACTAAAAACAGCATTTTATCTCAAGGGGAATGGAGATCATAGAAAGGTCAACCAGGATACCAGACAACGGGAACACATGTAAAGACCTATGAGTAGTACCTATATCACCTCAGAAATACTGTAAACAATTGAACAGACGTAAAGATATCTACCTTAGACAAAGATTAGCACAATGTCAATCTCAAACATTTCCTTTGATCTAATGCATCATTTATGCCAACACAGTATTGTATGTGACACCTTGACTGTGGATGTCTAACTTCAAATGGCAAACACCGTCTGGATAGAGGTCCGAACAAAGGCAACAGGTGTTAATGGGCAGATGGAGAGGGTTGGTTACGTGAATGAGGTCTGTTGAGTACTGTAGGTCGTATGAATAGAAGAGTTACTGTGCATCAGTAACTGACAATTCCTGTTAGCGCCCGGTTCAAAAACATACGTCCCATTTTGAGGGTGTTCTGAAAGAATTGGCATCAGACCAAGGAGACACAGAAAAGCCATTTGTCCACCCCACCTCTCGGTAAGTACTGCCAGTTCATATAGCTTTATTTATACTTCTAACGTGATGCAGGTCCAGACCTTACTGTATCCAGCCCACCTTTCTACATACTGCATGGGCTGCACTGTTTAGGGCCTAATATAAAACCACTGATCACCGTAGCCATCACAGTGAGTACCAGCAGAAGTCAATCCAAATCTCTGTCAACACAGACGCAGAAACGATGTATGGAATCTCTCAATTACAGAGGCCTTTGCATAGTCCATCTGCTCCTCGTAGTCAGATGATCCAGGCACTTGGATGACATACAATACTGCTATTCGGAAACTCCCTCAATCTGTTTAACTGAGCGAGAGCAAGGCCCAGAGTCGGCAGTTTGAATGGGTCTCTCCATAATCCAAGCTACAGAAAAAGTCACAAAACATGTATTCATATCGAACAATGTCATGCAAAAATGCTCACCACTGTTATTTTCTTATCATAGCAGCTCAGCTCCAATACGTCGGGCCAATCTGACTGCTATCAGAGGGTTCGTCCATGCATGACGAACCCATCCAACCGCTGGATGGTACACTGCTGCCTGGACACCTAGGCCATGCCAATGACCAATATCTTTCATGGCGCATAGCAAAGTACATAGCAACAAGACTCGCTTGAGACCAGAAAAACAGATGGGAGAAACGAACTGTCAATTTCCCCCTCGATGGGCATTCTTGATAACAGAAGTTTCCGGTGATTATGGGATATGGACACAAAGCAACACATATACGGCAATATCTCTTCCTTGCACGTTGTAATGTGAATGCCCTTTCTGTCAATCACCAATTGGTTCAGCCACGTTTGAACGCCAACCATTAATTAAAATGAAATTAATAGATTCACTGACATGGTTATGAGTGTGAGTGATGGGACAGATTTAATGTTAACCCTTTCCTCCATTACCCATCGTTTGATGCTATTAAATCAGTAGGCTTAGCATGAACTCAGTTTTCATTGGGTCAAACTGAAAGGTCTCTTATCAATAGTCAAACAAGAGATTTGACAGTCATTTCATAAGTAAAAGGTTGCTTTTGAAAGACTATTACTTAGCTTTAAACACATGGGTTATCCTAATCAAAAAGTAGACTGGAATGGTGGAGGGGCTAACCATCTCTCCAGAGAATGGGTTTGAATGAACAAAAGGAGCATGTGAGGATAAGTGATGGTATGGAGACACAGCAACACATGGTGATATATCGGAAGGGATATATTCCATACACAAACACTGAGTGTACGAAACATGCTCTTTCCATGACACAGACTGACCAGGTGAATCCAGGTGAAAGCTATGATCCCTGATTGATGTCACTTGTTAAATCCACTTCAATCAGTGTAGATGAAGGGGAAGAGACAGGTTAACTAATGATTTTTAAGCATTGAGACATGGATTGTGTATGTGTGCCATTCAGAGGGTGAAAGGGCAAGACAAAAGATTTAAGTGCCTTTAAAATGGGGAATGGTAGTAGGTGCCAGGCGCACCGGTTTGTGTCAAGGACTGCAACGCTGCTGGGATTTTCACGATCAACAGTTTCCCGTGTGTATAAAGAATGGTCCACCACCCAAAGGACATCCAGAAAACTTGAAATGACTGTGGGAAGCATTGGAGTCAACATGGGCCAGCATCCCTGTGGAACACTTGACACCTTGTAGAGTCCATGCCCCGACAAATTGAGGCTGTTCTGAGGGCAAAAGGGGGTGCAACTCAATATTATGAAGGAGTTCCTAATGTTTTGTACACTCAGTGTATATCCATCCTGTAGGAAAATGGCGGGTCAGAGAGACATATTAACTGATAAATGCAGTGTAGAGGCCAGTAAACACAGATGTTAAGAATTCACGTTAAAACCAAACAGATGGAGACAGGACGTCTTGTGAAGTAGAAACTCAGAGAAATTGATATCTTGATATAATGATGTAATTACACAGACAATGTCAAACCCAAATAGTTTCCCCCAAAAGACATGCAAGATGAAGGGAAACTGAGGAGTGGCGAGGTATACTTGAAAAAGGCAGACATACCATTAGTCGGATGCCTGGCAAACGACACAGAAAATCTCTTTACTGCCGGCATAGAGAACAGCTCTGAGGAAATAAGAAGGTTAAGTGGCGTTACTGGGGCTACAGGCTACCTGTGCACATGCCTGTACCTAGTGTCGCAGTGCAAACGTACCTACGTGTGTGTTTTCCTGACCCCCATGTGTCTGTAAACTCAAGTAGGGCATCTCTATAATGTTGCAGCTATGTATGTGCGTCTGGGTCTCTGTTTGTGGTGAGTGATATGCAGCATGGGAAGGCAGCATGGAAGAAGGGGTAATGAAGGAACAATGGAGAATGTGGATGGGGTGAAAATGTTAATGATAACTCAGTTGTGGTTGTTTTGAATGGAGACAGAGGACTGACATTTGGCACTGGTGAAGTGGGCATTTGAGGAAGTCCCCAATAGGCTAAAATGTTCAGTCTATTCTCTCTAAAGAATATGCTATGCCAAAATGATCTGGAAAGGAAACATACGGTGATGGCAACAGATTTAACACCAACAACCTATATTACAATCCTGTAACCATCTGGATTTGAGAGGTGTGACTGTAAACACAATCATTGCTCATTTGTCTTTGTCATGTACCAGTGCCTTTGGCCAGCATTGTGAGAGATAGATGGGGGGGGGTTTGTCTCGTTTGTGTGTTTTTGCAATCTATCTATCTATACACACACCGCCAGAAAAAACCTTTGGTGTTATTCTAAACCCTACACATCTCTAGCCTCATACAAGCAAAAGATGTAGCATCTTAAAGCATAATATTAAAGCGACCATTTCCTAAAGTATACCTAACATCAAGCGTACGGTGAAAACAAAGTACACAGTGACGCCCAGTGGACAAAATGGGCACGTCATTCAACCCGCAGTGGAACAATCTTTCCTCTTCACATGCAGGTGGCAGGTCATATGTTCTTCATATTTACATTTTAGTCACATACTGTGCAGTTACTATCAGGATGCTAGCTGATCTGACTCGATAACAAGAGGTAGGTGGCAGCCTTTGGATCAAATTAAGCCAATCGTTGTGCTCCAACATTCCTAGCAACATGCCCTGATGAAAACATTTGGGATAATCAGAGCTTTATGTTTATATGAGGCCCCCTGGTGGCTATATAGTCAACTCACCATTTCACTCTATAGTGAGTCAGGAAATTGTGGTATGGAAGTGGGAATTATGCAATGCTGGATTAACGGATCTCAAAACAAATTTGATCCATTTACAAGCCTTGGTTTCCCCAAATTAAGGGATTAATATAGAAAATTCCCTGTTGATTAACAAATCCTTTACCCCCTTGATATGTCATGAGAGATTACCATATGACATGCACACACCGATACAGAATATATACAATTGTATAGACAAGATTTACTTAGCAACCTAATCACACACAGGTTGTCATGTAATCAAAGGAAGGCCATGTTGCTTTGATTAGGATAAATTATTGGTCATGGGTAATGCATTTGATTGTGCGCAATCCAATACCAATATCATTAATGCTCAGTATACAATGTATAATACAAACATTCTTAGCATATAATCACAATTGTGGTCACTGCTCATGCTATTGGGGGGAATCACTCAAGCAGAGGATTGTTCTAGAGGCAGAAGGAAAGAAAGGGGGAAAGGAGGGCTCTCCGATAATTTGTGTGATCAAATAATAACTTATTCTCCACTAAGGTTGGGAAGGAGAGATAAGAGTGTTTGAGCAGGATCTAAAATGTCAGATATGGCGGACATTTTACATTTTGAAGGTTTTTTACGGCACTATGTATGGCATTTTCAGCGGCCATGTGAAAAGATAGGCGTTTGATAGAGGTTGATAAAGATAGAGATGGATAGAGGAAGGACGTACCATCTCGAAAAGGCAAACCGGGGGACAGGGGGGGTCTGCGGTGGTGGGTGCGGACGTAGTCCCGCAGGTTGGGGGCGCTAGAGGACACCCCCAGGACAGAGGCACTGAAGAGGCCCGAGCACAGGGACCCTGTTGTGGAAGAACCACGGGGTGGGAGAGAGGAGGGGGACGGGGGGCAGGGAGGGGGGAGGTTAGTACTCATTGCACACCATGCGGTTCTTAATAAGAGCAGTTCACTGTTGCTAAGGGGTGTGTGAGTGTGCCTGTGTCTGTACCTGTGTGTGTTTATGAAGAGAGCGCAGCAAACAAACGGAGGTCACTCCTAACACTGGCCCCTAACCCCTCCTAAGAGAAAATTAGATAAAGCCTCTCTCTAAGATCTCCTGGAGACTGACTAGAGGGTTTACACTTATCTCAACAACTGGTGGGACCATAGACAAAGGATGACATGGATTTAAGAAATAAGGGGGCTTTTTAGTGTGAATACAGTGCACTGAACTTACAAGAATCATGAGAACCAAATATAACAAAGTGGTCAAGGACTGTGGGGACAGAAACATTGATATTGTCACAATGAACATAGGTTTTCTGTTTTTCTATAACCACCTGTTAGAAAATAATCTGTTCCTGACAATCCTTATTTTTTTTGGGGGGGGGAAGAGTGCAGTGTATACAGCAGTTAAATTCCTACAGCAGTTGGCATAGAAATAGTCACAGCAGAATAAGAATGGGCCTTTATTTTTCCAGCCATACTATTCTGGTCTAAAGTGAGCTGTGCTGGAATGGGTGGTTTGGTGGGATGCAGGGACAGCGACAACGTTTGAATGGTCATTTCAAAACAGTTTGACAAGCTTGGTGCATACAGTAAGAGTATGGACAAGCAGTGGAAAACACATGCACATACTCATGCACAAATCAAACCAACCTCAGCCCAAGTTCATGTCAACATGTTTTTTCCACTCATTGTTTTTTTGGTGCATCCATTGCACCCTTTTATTTGTTTTATAAAGGCTTAGTAAGTGAATATCACCGTGTTAGAAAGTTGCCGGGGGTCACAAGCACCTCCAAATCCACGCACAGGAGACTGATTGTATCTGCGGTTCTATTGTATCACCTTGTGGAGGTTTCCTTGCTTCTCTTGACAGATGAATGTGAATGGAGACAGACAGGAATATCATCCGGTGGGGGCTCTGCGGCACTCAGACCCCCATATATAGAGCCCTATTGGCAGGAGAGGTCCTTGGTGGTGGGGCTCTTAGGCTACGTCCCAAATAGCCCATAGGGCTCTGGTCAAAAGTACTGCGCTATAAAGGGAATAGGGGGTCATTTGGGACGTAGCCTAAGATGTATTCTCTCCGCTCTGACTCTCCATTGACCTGTGGCCTACATAGTCTAGACCTGGGAGCTTTGGCAGCTGGACCTACCTCCCACTATGGAGTCATGGCAGCTATGCAGCCATTAGAAAGAGTGAGGAAGAAAGGGAGTGAGAGGGAGAGCGTGAGAGAGAGACAGACAAAGAGTGAGGCAAAACAGACAGAACGAGAGGGAGAGAGAAAGAGAGAGAACGAGAGTGACAGAACAAGAGAGCGAGCGAGACAGAGGAGAGGTCACTCACAGGACCCAGAGAGATTAGTGAGTGCTGATGACAGGGTTGCAGAAATATGACAGTGGCAGCAGTGGTTGGCAGAAACCAGATACCCACCTAGGCCAGTCTGTTTGATCTCAGGGGACTGGCGCGAGCAGGAGGGGAAGAGGCGGTAGGAGGCGCCCTTGGAGGAGTAGCCAGGGGAGGTGGGCGAGGTCTCGGAGAGGACCTGGGTGGGGACAGGGAGACTGTGTCACAGTCTTTCTATGTGGGTTTGGATTCAAACAGGACTATCCTAGTGATTCAATAATTGAACAGATAAATGCTGTGCTTGGGTTGTGTTTATTATTATTATTATTCTTAACTCAAACAGGTAGGGACTACCTGGACGTATCCAATAAGAAACACACATTTTTTATTTTCCATTGAAAAGGGTTTTCTGTTGCGTGCACTAATGAACACCACCCTAACATGGAATACATGACATTTGGGAGAGGGGACACAATAACTGATATATCCCTGATCAAGTACCTCCATGGAGCTAGTCTTGCGGTTGCGGATCATGGGTGATCTTCTGATGCTGATTAACTCAGAGAGAGGCAGGGCCCGGTCAGGCTCGTCCTGTGACAGGTCCTCCAGACTGCCTTGGTTGGTCTGCTTCTCCTGGTTCTGGATTGGATTAAAGAGACCGATGAGGGGGGCTGTGGACACACACACACACACACACACACACACACACACACTGACCTCAGCGGAGGCTGGGCGGAAGCCAAAGCCCAGAGGGATGTTCTCCTCGTCCTCACAGCTCTTCACCCCGGGACTGAAGTGGAGCTCCACGTGGAAACGCTCCTCTGAGCCGGGGTCCTGTTCAACACACACAAAAAACATGAGCAATCATGTTATACTACAGAGAGTGAGAGGAAGAGACACATACAGACAGGAACGTACAGTAATAGTACCAGGTGTAGTAATACTACAGAAAGAAAGGAAGACGGATGTAGGGACAGAGAGGCCTAACTGACCTTGTTGTTATCCTCATACAGCATGATGACTATCTGAGTCATGTAGTTGAGTTCAGAGACAGCACTGAGGTAATCCATGGCCTGTTTCCACTGCTGGTCCTTAACCTCCTGTCACACACACACACCAAAACACAAACTTAACCAGAGAAAACTACACCTAAAAAATATTAAGATTTTGAACCCAAGTCTTCAATATTCAGTGAACTATCCCTTTACAACAACTAACCTGGTCCCAGATCTGTTTGTACCATCTTGCCAACTCCTAAGTTATGATCATTGTGACTATTATCATGCCGACCAGATTTGGGACCAGGCTACTTTAACAACCCCCCTGCAGTGACAACGTACATCCAGTAGTCCCCCGTAGCGGAAGATGCTGAGCAGCGAGTGGACGTGGCTCTCGCTGGTGAAATAGAGGCGGGTCCGGACGTGACGCCCCGGAGACATGACCCCCCGCGAGTACCTGAACCACCAGAGGGAATGAATGACAAAGGGTGATCACTTTCGGGGGCTCTAGAGACACACCTCAATGGAGGGTTTACTGGGAAATAACTGAACCTGGGACAGTGGCTCACTCAGTGGTAGTGGTACACAGCCAGAACTGGTCCTAGGAAAGTGGTACAGTGGTGCTCACTACTCAGCCATTTCAACAGTGTTATAAGAACTGGTCCTAGGCCAACCTGGGTTCAAACACTATTTATTGTATTTCAATTACTTTCACATACATTTTCAAGTAAGTATTTTAATTTGAAAATACAAGTAGTTGAATATTGGAATGTATTTGGAAATACAAGTACAAGTATTACTCCCATGCATTTGAACCCAGGTCTGTTTGGGGTATTTGAAATGTATTTGGAAACAAGTATTTGAAAATAGTTTAAAATAGTAAATTATAGGAAATTATTTGAAAATACTCAAATATCAAATCTATTCGGTCATAAGAGACGGTGGCATTATGTACAAAATAAGTTACAAACAACGCGAAAAAAAAACACAAAATAGCACAATTGGTTAGGAGCCATTATGAAATACACCGAAAAATTATTTAAATAGGCATGTATTTGAACCTAGGTCTGGTCCTATGACAGCGGTACACTCACAGTGGTACACACCCATTATATAACGGTCGAATAACAACTCGGGCTCAGATAATGGACAAAGACAGTGTGTGACTGACTGCAGCCCAAGTGGTGAGTACCTATAATAACAACTGATCCTAGATCAGTGGCACTGCAACTCACAGTGGGTGCAGCTTGTTGACGGCCTCGTCCTCGTGGGTCCTCTGCAGGTCTAGCTGGATCTTCTTCATCAAGGGAAGGCAGTAGGCCTGGGCAATGTCCATCTTTTCTGGCTTATTGATGCCATACTCCTGAAGAGAGAAACAGACAAATGCATGCTCAAAAGGTGTGTGTGTTCACGCTTCTCTATCCAAAGAAACGTTCAGAAGTCATGCTCCCCACTTGGTAGGTCTAGACTACTGCTATAGTCCCCATTTGCGCAGGTAAACGTGAATGTGTGTGTATGTGTCTTCCCCTCACCTGAGGTATGACGATGTCGGCCAGGGCACGGGACAGCCTGAACAGCTCCAATGTGTCCTCCAGGCCCAGTGTGGCGTTGTGCTGTGTGTCATACTTCACACAGTCGTAGATGTCTGGGATCTTACTGATGTCGTAGCGGCCGCTCTTATTCCGGAAGTCCCTTTCCAGCTTGGACCAGCGCTGCAGCATCAGCTCCAGGGTCTCACTGTGGTACAGCTGCAGGTCTGGGAACAGGAGAGGACTTAGCTTACAGCAGACAGTCGACAGGAATTAAATTACACTAGCTAGTTATCTGACAATACACCTGGAAAGAGTATATATATATATATATATACACTACCAGTCAAAGGTTTGGACACACCTACCTACTCAAGGGTTTTTCTTAATTTTAATTTTTTTTTACATTGTAGAATAATAGTGAAGACATCAAAACTATGAAATAACACATATGGAATCATGTAGTAACCAAAAAAAGTGTTAAACAAATCCATATATATTTTAGATTCTTCAAAGTAGCCACCCTTTGCCTTGATGACAGCTTCGCACACGCTTGGCATTCTCTCAACCAGCTTCATGAGGTAGTCAACTGGAATGCATTTCAATTATCAGGTGTGCCTTCTTAAAAGTTAATTTGTGGAATTTATTTCCTTCTTAATGCTTTTTAGTCAGTCAGTTCTGTTGTGACAAGGTGGGGTGTAATACAGACGATAGCCCTATTTGGTAAAAGACCAAGTCCATATTATGGCAAGAACAGCTCAAATAAGCAAAGAGAAACGACAGTCCATCATTACTTTAAGACATGAAGGTAAGTCAATACGGAACATTTCAAGAACTTTTAAAGTTTCTTCAAGTGCAGTCGCAAAAACCATCAAGCGCTATGATGAAACTGGCTCTCATGAGGACCGCCACAGGAATGGAAGACCCAGAGTTACAGTTGAAGTCGGAAGTTTACATACAATTAGGTTGGAGTCATTAAAACTTGTTTTTCAACCACTCCACAAATGTCTTGTTAACAAACTATAGTTTTGGCAAGTCGGTTAGGACATCTACTTTGTGCATGACAAGTAATTTTTCCAACAATTGTTTACAGACAGATTATTTCACTTATAATTCACTGTATCACAATTCCAGTTTGTGGGCAGAACTGAAAAAGTGTGTGCGAGCAAGGAGGCCTACAAACCTGACTCACTTACACCAGCTCTGTCAGGAGGAATGGGCCAAAATTCACCCAACTTATTGTGGGAAACTTGTGGAAGGCTACGCGAAACGTTTGACCCAAGTTAAACAATTTAAAGGCAATGCTACCAAATACTAATTGAGTGTATGTAAACTTCTGACCCACTGGGAATGTGATGAAATAAATCATTCTCTCTACTATTATTCTGACATTTCACTTTCTTAAAATAAAGTGGTGATCATAACTGACCTAAGACAGGGAAACTTTACTTGGATTAAATGTCAGGAATTGTGAAAAACTGAGTTTCAATGTATTTGGATAAGGTGTATGTAAACTTCCGACTTCAACTGTATATACACACATACGTATATATATAAACTCTGCAAAAAAAGATATGTCCCTTTTTCAGGACCCTGTCTTTCAAAGATAATTAGTAAAAATCAAAATAACAACAGATCTTCATTGTAAAGGGTTTAAACACTGTTTCCCATGCTTGTTCAATGAACCATAAACAATTAATGAACATGCACCTGTGGAACGGTCGTTAAGACACTAACAGCTTACAGATGGCAATTAAGGTCACAGTTATGAAAACTTAGGACACTAAAGAGGCCTTTCTACTGACTTTGAAAAACACCAAAAGAAAGATGCCCAGGGTCCCTGCTCATCTGTGTGAACGTGCCTTAGGCATGCTGCAAGGAGGCATGAGGACTGCAGATGTGGCCAGAGCAATAAATTGCAATGTCCGTACTGTGAGACGCTTAAGACAGCACTACAGGGAGACAGGACAGACAGCTGATCGTCCTCGCAGTGGCAGACCACATGTAACAACACCTGCACAGGATTGGTACATCCGAACATCACACCTGCGGGACAGGTACATGATGGCAACAACAACTGCCCGAGTTACACCAGGAACGCACAATCCCTCCATCAGTGCTCAGACTGTCTGCAATAGGCTGAGAGAGGATGGACTGAGGGCTTGTAGGCCTATTGAAAGGCAGGTCCTCACCAGACATCACCAGCAACAACGTCGTCTATGGGCACAAACCCACAGTCGCTGGAACAGACAGGACTGGAAAAAAGTGCTCTTCACTGACGAGTCGCGGTTTTGTCTCACCAGAGGTGATGGTCGGATTCGCGTTTATCGTCGAAGGAATGAGCGTTACACTGAGGCCTGTACTCTGGAGCGGGATCGATTTGGAGGTGGAGGATCCGTCATGGTCTGGGGCGGTGTGTCACAGCATCATCGGACTGAGCTTGTCATTATTGCAGGCAATCTCAATGCTGTGCGTTACAGGGAAGACATCCTCCTCCCTCATGTGGTACCCTTCCTGCAGGCTCATCCTGATATCACCCTCCAGCATGACAATGCCACCAGCCATACTGCTCGTTCTGTGCGTGATTTCCTGCAAGACAGGAATGTCAGTGTTCTGCCATGGCCAGCGAAGTGCCGGGATCTCAATCCCATTGAGCACGTCTGGGACCTGTTGGATCGGAGGGTGAGGGCTAGGGCCATTCCCCCCAGAAATGTCCGGGAACTTGCAGGTGCCTTGGTGGAAGAGTGGGGTAACATCTCACAGCAAGAACTGGCAAATCTGGTGCAGTCCATGAGGAGGAGTTGCACTGCAGTACTTAATGCAGCTGGTGGCCACACCAGATACTGAATATTACTTTTGATTTTGACCCCCCCTTTGTTCAGGGACATATTATTCCATTTCTGTTAGTCACATGTCTGTGGAACTTGTTCAGTTTATGTCTCAGTTGTTGAATCTTGTTATGTTCATACAAATATTTACACGTTAAGTTTGCTGAAAATAAACGCAGTTGACAGTGAGAGGATGTTTCTTTTTTTGCTGAGTTTACATACGTATACACACACACACACATATATATAAATAAACACACACAACAAAAATATACGCAACATGCAACAATTTCAAAGAGTTACAGTTCATATAAGGAAATCAGTCAATTGAAATAAATTCATTAGGCCCTAATCTATGGATTTCACGACTGGGTATACAGAAATGCATCTGTTGGTCACAGATAACTTGGTATTTTTATTTTTATTTTTATGGGCCTCACAATGGGCCTCAGGATCTCGTCACAGTATCTCTGTGCATTCAAATTGTCCGTAGCTTATGCCTGCCCAAACCATAACCCCACCGCCACCAGGGGGCAGTCTGTTCCCTACATTGACATCAGCAAACCGCTCGCCCACACGACACCATACACGTGGTCTACGGATGTGAGGCCGGTTGGACGTACTGCAAAATTCTCTAAAACGACGTTGGAGGCGGCTTATGGTAGAGAAATTAACATTAAATTCTCTGGCAACAGCCCTGGTGGACATTCCTGCAGTCACCATGTCAATTGCACGCTCCCTCAAAACTTGAGACATCTGTGGCATTTTAGACTGGCCTTTTATTGTCCCTAGCATAAGGTGCACCTGTGTAATGATCATGCTGTTTAATCAGCTTCTTGATATGCCACACCTGTCAGGGAGATGGATTCTCTGGGCAAAGGAGAAATGCTCACTAACAGGGATGTAAACAAATTTGTGCATCAAATTTGAGATATGATTTTTGTGCATATGGAATAGTTCTGGGATCTATTATTTCAGCTCATGAAACATGGGACCAACACTTTACATGTTGCGTTTATATTTTTGTTCAGTGTAGATTACAATAGCAAAATGTAAACAAAACCATGTCATTTTTGACACGACAGCATTCCAATAGCTAGCAAAAGAGTGTAGGAGCGGTAGATAACTAACCGTCAATAACTTTAGCTAGCTAGCTAAGTAACTTGTCTAGCTAACTGAGGTGAAACAATTCACTTATTTACAGTTGGCTAGTTAGATACCGCACCGCTCTTTGGTAGCAAATGTAACAGTGAATCCAAAGCTGGAAAGGCGTCTCCACTAATGTTTACATTTTGACCTATTAGGAATGGGTCAAAAGGTCTATTATATTGGACAATAAAATATGTATATTACTTTCAATTATATTATATTGTAAGCAGGCTGGGCAGAGAACAAACCTGCAGATTTGGGGTCCTCCAGCCTTTTGCGGATCTGGGAGGTGAGGCTCTGGATGAGGGTGTAGACCTGGTCACACGTCCTCACTGGGTTCCCTATGATCTTCATGGAGTTGACCAGAGAGGGGCTGCCTGTAGGGGCCAGCTGCAACACATAGTAACAGTCACACGTTATTACAGTGGTACAAATAATGCAGAACTTCATGGAACTGTGTAATGCCAACGTTGGTATCCATAACAGGTAGTGTTGAAATGTTATGTGAGACTCTGGAGATTGACAGTGATGTCATGCTCAGTTGAAGGCTGTACAGTAAGAAAAGGATCGGAAACAATCAATCTCAAAAACACTTTTCAAGGACTGCTCAAGTTGATGGAATTGTCAATGGAGCCTCCCATCAGTGTAACAGAGTGTAATGGTGACCATTTAGGTCATAGTTTACTTAACACCTGCAGTTATAATACATTATGATGTAGTTACTGTATTATGTACTGAAATACTTGTCATGAGCATGTCATAATGATTCTTAGTTGAATGCTTATTATTATTATTATTATGAAACATAGGCTCATTAATGCTTATTATAACAACTATTAAGGCATTACACCTGCAGGCCTTAAGTTAAGTGTTATCCATTTCAAACAGGGCTTTTCTCCTATGGCCTTTCCAACACCGATTGGGTGAGTAGTAGTGGTCTTGATGAAGGAGTCTACAGACTGTACCTTTTCGTAGTCTGCCTCAGTGAAGTCCTGGTCTTTCTGCATGATCTCATGGAGGCGTGCCTTCACCCTCTGCTGGCAGTCGGTCAGAGACTCACTGTCGCTGTCCAGCATGCCGTTCATGTTGGCACTTTTCACCATCTGCACCAGGATAGGGGTCAGCTCCCCCTCCAGAGCCAGCAGACCCTACATGCACGCACACACACAATAAGACAGTTATGAGATATACACGTGCATACACATGCATGGAACAATATGTACTGTACACAGAAAGGGTTTACACATGCTAAGGGATAGAGATATATTGACACTGAACACAAATGAAAGGAACCAGGTTTACCTATACAGTGAGCATGCATTACACACACACACACACACACACACACACACCTGTACACTGACAAATCTACAGGCGCACACACACACACACACAGCAAACAGTAACACCCAAACATGTTGTACTGTAAACACACCTTGGCGAAAGCGGCAGCGGTCATCTGAACACGGCCTTCGTCTGAAGCGTAGATCTTGAGGTCGTGGCGGTAAGTGCTGTGTAAACGGAGCAGACCACAGCCAGGGAAACCAGCGTAGTCCCCTACAGGGTCATGCACAGAGGGAGGAACATCAGGCTTACAGGACATTACAGAGGAAGGGAGAAAGGGTGCCTGCCAGAGGAGGCTGGGGGGAGGAGCTATAGGAGGATGGGCTCATTGTAATGGCTGGAACGGAGTGAATGGAACGGTGTCAAACATGTGGTTTCCATATGTTTGACGTGTTTGATACCGTTCCATTTATTCCATTCCAGACATTACAATGAGCCAGTCCTCCTATAGCTCCTCCCACCCACCTCCTCTGGTCACGCCTACATAACAACACAGACTGTATGTGCACAAACACATCTAGGTATGTATCTGCAGTTGATGAGGGAGGAAACATTGGTTATTTGGTGAAAAAAAAACTATCAATAAATAACAATCAGTCAACTGGATTCTGTTCACCTGAAAGGGAAAGCAAGTCCTTCACATCTCATACCTGGGATGAAAAATTGTTAAAAACAAATGGAATGTGGTCAAAATCCTAAATACTTATCTAAACAATTCAGTTCTCATGCTCGTTTTTGTTTGGAAGTGAAACTGAAAGCTACGTTGCTGGCTTTTCACAGACAAACAATTCCAACCCATGGCGAATTTCCAGGAGCGTTATTAGTATGAGATGATGCGCAGTCGCTGAACTGCTCCAAAACTTCCTGAGTCATGACACTGCATTTGCAGATGACCAAACAACTTTGCGTCCTTGGATTGACGGATCACCTCATGGACCCTTTCACAGAAACCCACACCAAAAGACACATACCGTTCTTATAAAACCCAAACCTCCCAGAGTAGTGTAATGATGAGGACGATGCAGTTCGAACGTATCCATTCGTTGACAGTTCAAGCCCTTCTTACCAATAAGAGACTAGCAGACAAGTAGCCTGCGGCTACCTTCTAGTATGCAGTGCAAGAGATAAGAAGAAAAGAGCAGAATTAACAGAAAACGTACACTAGGAGAACGCGCTCTCACACTCCTCTGGTACATTTTTTTAAATAAAAAAAGCTTAAGCAAGAAGATATATATAAAAAATATATATTGGTCTGCCATCATCTAAAAATAGTCACATTCCACTTAGTTCGCTGGGCTTTGTTTGGAAGACTAGTTTATCATGTGTTGTCCAGCGTAGGTAGTATAAACATTATTTTAGAAAGCAAACATGGGGAGGGAACGCATAATACAAATATAGTGATGTTACTACAGTACCTTGGGATTAGCACATTACATTAAACATGGGTATGAAAATGACACTATGTAGGAAGGGGAGAATGGACCTCCCTTGTAAATTTGGGGACAATTCAAACGACTAAAAATATATTTCAAAATCCTCATGTGTAAAACACAATCTCGACTCGATTTTGCTTGACTAATGAACAACACTTGGCAAATTCCATGATGAATACTCCTGCAGTGTGTAATGTGCTTAGTGTTAATTTTAGTTAGAAATCGAGTGTGATTAATGATCATCTTTACAATACAGTGCATCTTCTAAAATGCCCATATGACATTTCAGGAAAAGAGAGAAAGCAGCAAACTTTCATTCAGAAAATCTGTCTCTTCCACTGAACCTAAAGCAAACGCTTCAATGACACCCAGTATGTTAAGAACAGTAACATGTGACTTCATGGTAGAGAGCCTTTGGAGGGATTGAAATCACAGAGTGTAAATGTCAAATGCAAAGAAAGGTGTCCACCAAGAACATGTTTGTCTTTGTTTGAGATTGGATCCCCCTTCAGCAATGAGAAAGGCAGGCAGAAGTAATGCTGGGATAAATCCTCACTTTAGATCTGCATGTGTAATTTTACACTTACAAATCTCCCATTGACCTCAATTCATGATTTACTAAAAACGGAGTTAAGCGCATGGATATCAAGTTAGCATTTGGGACAATATAGTTCTTCCTGACCTTGTGACCTCACAAAGAGAAATTAGGGGCTCTAGAAATGTGTTACTGTATGTAGGGACAGACAGAATATGCAGAGACGTTTTCTTATCAATCACTTTACAGCTTTATCTACATGTAATTCAACTGCTGTTTATAGCAATAGTTGAATTGATTTACATTGAAACCAGAGGTGCTTTTGATTTCAAATTATTTGAGTTTGACTAAATTGTGCCCATTCCAACTCCCATCTAGCCCTAGGTCAGTATATAGAGGTAGTATACAGTGTAGAGGTGAGGTGTGGAGTGTCCAGTAGTAGAGCACTGTACCTTGTCCTCCAGGGTACATGCAGCGGAAGGCCCTCCCCAGCTCCTCAGCCTGTACCCTGCCTGCCGGGGTCAGCTCCCCTCCCCACTTCAACACCAGCAGCAGAGACGGACCCTCCTTCGGACCCTCTGTACAACAATAACACAAATGCGCGCACACACACACACACACACACACCTGCATTAGGTCCTGCAGTTAAATCTGGAAAAAAAGCTGAAAGGTTAACATGTGCATGTTAAAAGTACACTAAATGACCAAAAGTATGTGGACATCTCATTAATATGGAGTTGGTTCCCCCTTTGCTGCTATAACAGCCTCCACTCTTCTGGGAAGGCTTTCCACTAGATGTTGATTGCTGCGGGGACTTGCTTCCATTCCGCAACAAGAGCATTAGTGAGGTCCGGCACTGATGTTGGGCGATTAGACCTGGCTCGCAGTCGGCGTTTCAATTCATCCCAAAGGTGTTTGATGGGGTTGAGGTCAGGGCTCTGTGCAGGCCCGTCAAGTTCTTCTACACCGATCTCGACAAACCATTTCTTTATGGACCTCACTTTGTGCACGGGGGAACTGTCATGCTGAAACAGGAAAGGGTCTTCCCCAAACTGTTGCCACAAAGTTGGAAGCACAGAATCATCTAGAATGTCATTGTATGCTGTAGCGTTAAGATTTCCCTTCACTGGAACTAAGGGGCCTAGCCCGAACCATGAAAAACAGCCCCAGACCATTATTCCTCCTCCACCAAACTTTACAGTTGGCACTACGCTTTAGGCAGGTAGCGTTCTCCTGGCATTTGCCAAACCCAGATTAGTCTGACGGACTGCCAGATGGTGAAGCGTGATTCATCACTCCAGAGTACGCTTTTCCACTGCTCCAGCCTGAACCTTGGCATTGCGCATGGTGATCTTAGGCTTGTGTGCGTCAGCTTGGCCATGGAAACCCATTTTGCTTTAGGAGGCAGTTTGTGAGGACAAACTATCTTTACACGCTACGCGCCTTAGCAGTCCCGTTCTGTGAACTTGTGGCTTACCACTTCGCGGCTGAGCCATTGTTGCTCCTAGACTTTTCCACTTCACAATAACAGCACTTACAGTTGACCAGGGCAGCAATTTGACGAACTGACTTGTTGGAAAGGTGGCATCCCATGACGGTGCCACGTTGAAAGTCACTGAGCTCCTCAATAAGGCCATTCTACTGCCAATGTTTGTCTATGGAGATTGCATGGCGGTGTGCTCGATTTCACATACCTGTCAGCAACGCGAGTGGCTGAAATAGCCAAATCCACTAATTTGAAGGGGTGTCCACATACTTTTGTATATATAGTGTATGTGTAATCATGAACATGACCAGAGATAGTTTAAGGTTGTGACTCCCTACCTTCTTCCTCACTGGAGGCTTTGGGCTGCCCATTGGGCAGGTAGGTGAGCTGCACTTTCCTGTTGATGCCTGAGAAATGCCCGTACCTGGAAGACACACGGGGTATCTACACTTAATGAAGCTCCAGTTATCATTATACATGTACAGTACACACACATATACAAACCCAGACATGTGACATGTCAAGACCAGCGTTAAGCTCAACTCCAATCAAAATCTGTCAAGTCAGGAAGTACATTTAAAATACACAAATGTAAAAAATAAACTTTTCTTAGACTGAATTCAATTAATTATTGGACTTAATTTCAATTAATCTCCTGAATTTGACTATTTTTATGGAATTGAGTCCAACCTTGTTGGACACGTTTCATTTCAGAACCATGGTTCAGAACTGTCTCCCACCAGCTTCAAACGCTAGCTAGCAGGTGCTCAGTCTGTCAGTCAGTGGCTAGTTAGGCTAGGCTAAACTAGCTGCCTACCATGTTTCTGGAAACATGTTTTGGGTTGTTATGTGTGTGACCTTTGGACGGCCGCTGTGTGTCACTATTAATCCCTCATGTGCCATACCAGCGCTGTCCTTTTGGATGTGACAAGCTTTTGGTTAGACGACATCATTGGGATTCCACCCACCCCGTTGGGTAAAATTGTCTCAGCCTCCCCTTTGATTTGCGATACAGTGCTGTGACAGTAGTGAGGGCTGGGCTATATAACAGCTGCTGTTCAATGTACCCGCTATGATAATAATTTAGCTTATCTGCCACTAATGGAAACATACTTGGAAACTAACATGGCACAGATCATATTCATAAGGAGGACCTGCTCCAACAGACAATGAGTACGTTTACATGCACAGGAATAATTAGATATTAAATAATCATGTAAATACCTTATAATCGGAGTAAAGGTCAATTTCGAAAATAAGCATACGCCGATTAAAACAGCTGGTTTTCGGAGCAATATTTCGAAATTATTAGGACACGTAAACAGCTTTAGCGCGAGTGAAGTGAGTTCGGAACAACTGAATGTATGCATCTTAGCAGTAGTTTTCAAATACAAACTTTATATGTCCGAACTCAGAATCAAATATGCTTACCAAAAATAACATGGTGACTGTGGTAGAAAGTTTATTTTGATTGTTGATTTTCTGCATTTATCAGAGTGCCATCAGGTAAACAGGATTATTAGGGAAATCGTTCTTCTTGCAAAGCATCTAAATGTTTTAATCAAACCATTATATTAAATCTGACTATCCACAATAATCACATTATTGTGTGCATGTAACCGTACTCAACTACATTGTGTCCGTAAAATGTATATAGTATAGTATAAGCTGGAAGTAGAAGCCTAAGTGTCGTTGTCCATTAGTTTACTCCAATTAGGGGAGGGGTGGTAGGGTTAGGAATTTATTTATATATATATATACACACACACATATATACACATACACATATACATACACACAAACATACAGTGGGGAGAACAAGTATTTGATACACTGCCGATTTTGCAGGTTTTCCTACTTACAAAGCATGTAGAGGTCTGTAATTTTTATCAGAAAATCACATTGTATGATTTTTAAGTAATTAATTTGCATTTTATTGCATGACATAAGTATTTGATCACCTACCAACCAGTAACAATTCCGGCTCTCACAGACCTGTTAGTTTTTCTTTAAGAAGCCCTCCTGTTCACCACTCGTTACCTGTATAAAAGACACCTGTCCACACACTCAAACAGACTCCAACCTCTCCACAATGGCCAAGACCAGAGAGCTGTGTAAGGACATCAGGGATACAAGTGTAGACCTGCACAAGGCTGGGATGGGCTACAGGACAATAGGCAAGCAGCTTGGTGAGAAGGCAACAACTGTTGGCGCAATTATTCGAAAATGGAAGAAGTTCAAGATGACGGTCAATCACCCTCGGTCTGGGGCTCCATGCAAGATCTCACCTCGTGGGGCATCAATGATCATGAGGAAGGTGAAGGATCAGCCCAGAACTACATGGCAGGACCTGGTCAATGACCTGAAGAGAGCTGGGACCACAGTCTCAAAGAAAACCATTAGTAACACACTACGCCGTCATGGATTAAAATCCTGCAGCGCACGCAAGGTCCCCCTGCTCAAGCCAGCACATGTCCAGGCCCGTCTGAAGTTTGCCAATAACCATCTGGATGATCCAGAGGAGGAATGGGAGAAGGTCATGTGGTCTGATGAGACAAAAATAGAGCTTTTTGGTCTCAACTCCACTCGCCGTGTTTGGAGGAAGAAGGATGAGTACAACCCCAAGAACACCATCGCAACCGTGAAGCATGGAGGTGGAAACATTCTTTGGGGATGCTTTTCTGCAAATGGGACAGGACGACTGCACCGTATTGAGGGGAGGATGGATGGGGCCATGTATCGCGAGATCTTGGCCAACAACCTCCTTCCCTCAGTAAGAGCATTGAAGATGGGTCATGGCTGGTCTTCCAGCATGACAACGACCAGAAACACACAGCCAGGGCAACTAAGGAGTGGCTCCGTAAGAAGCATCTCAAGGTCCTGGAGTGGCCTAGCCAGTCTCCAGACCTGAACCCAATAGAACATCTTTGGAAGGAGCTGAAAGTCCGTATTGCCCAGCGACAGCCCCGAAACCTGAAGGCTCTGGAGAAGGTCTGTATGGAGGAGTGGGCCAAAAACCCTGCTGCAGTGTGTGCAAACCTGCTCAAGACCTACAGGAAACGGATGATCTCTGTAATTGCAAACAACGGTTTCTGTACCAAATATTAAGTTCTGCTTTTCTGATGTATCAAATACTTATGTCATGCAATAAAATGCAAATTCATTACTTAAAAATCATACAATGTGATTTTCTGGATTTTTGTTTTAGATCCCGTCTCTCACAGTTGAAGTGTACCTATGATAAAAAATTACAGACCTCTACATGCTTTGTAAGTAGGAAAACCTGCAAAATTGGCAGTGTATCAAATACTTGTTCTCCCCACTGTATGTATGTATGTATGTATGTATGTATGTATGTATGTATGTATGTATGTATGTATGTATGTATGTATGTATGTATATATACACACACTGCTCAAAAAAATTAAGGGAACACTAAAATAACACATCCTAGATCTGAATGAATTAAATAATCTTATTAAATACTTTTTTCTTTACATAGTTGAATGTGCTGACAACAAAATCACACAAAAAGTATCAATGGAAATCAAATTGATCAACCCATGGAGGTCTGGATTTGGAGTCACCCTCAAAATTAAAGTGGAAAACCACACTACAGGCTGATCCAACTTGAATGTAATGTCCTTAAAACAAGTCAAAATGAGGCTCAGTAGTGTGTGTGGCCTCCACGTGCCTGTATGACCTCCCTACAATGCCTGGGCATGCTCCTGATGAGGTGGCAGATGGTCTCCTGAGGGATCTCCTCCCAGACCTGGACTAAAGCATCCGCCAACTCCTGGACAGTCTGTGGTGCAACGTGGCGTTGGTGGATGGAGCGAGACATGATGTCCCAGATGTGCTCAATTGGATTCAGGTCTGGGGAAAGTCCATAGCATCAATGCCTTCCTCTTGCAGGAACTGCTGAAACACTCCAGCCACATGAGGTCTAGCATTGTCTTGAATTAGGAGGAACCCAGGGCCAACCGCACCAGCATATGATCTCACAAGGGGTCTGAGGATCTCATCTCGGTACCTAATGGCAGTCAGGCTACCTCTGGCAAGCACATTGCGGGCTGTGCGGCCCCCCAAAGAAATGCCACCCCTCACCATGACTGACCCACCACCAAACCGGTCATGCTGGAGGATGTTGCAGGCAGCAGAACGTTCTCCACGGCATCTCCAGACTCTGTCACATGTGCTCAGTGTGAACCTGCTTTCATCTGTGAAGAGCACAGGGCGCCAGTGGCGAATTTGCCAATCTTGGTGTTCTCTGGCAAATGCCAAACATCCTGCACGGTGTTGGGCTGTAAGCACAACCCCCACCTGTGGACGTCGGGCCCTCATACCACCCTCAAGGAGTCTGTTTCTGACCGTTTGAGCAGACACATGCACATTTGTGGCCTGCTGGAGGTAATTTTGCAGGGCTCTGGCAGTGCTCCTGCTGCTCCTCCTTGCACAAAGGTGGAGGTAGCAGTCCTGCTGCTGGGTTGTTGCCCTCCTACGGCCTCCTCCACGTCTCCTGATGTACTGGCCTGTCTCCTGGTAGCGCCTCCATGCTCTGGACACTACGCTGACAGACACAGCAAACCTTCTTGCCACAGCTCGCACTGATGTGCCATCCTGGATGAGCTGCACTACCTGAGCCACTTGTGTGGGTTGTAGACTCAGTCTCATGCTACCACTAGAGTGAAAGCACCGCCAGCATTCAAAAGTGACCAAAACATCAGCCAGGAAGCATAGGAACTGAGAAGTGGTCTGTGGTCACCACCTGCAAAACCATTCCTTTATTGGGGGTGTCTTGCTAATTGCCTATAATTTCCACCTGTTGTCTATTCCATTTGCACAACAGCATGTGAAATTTATTGTCAATCAGTGTTGCTTCCTAAGTGGACAGTTTGATTTCACAGAAGTGTGATTGACTTGGAGTTACATTGTGTTGTTTAAGTGTTCCCTTTATTTTTTTGAGCAGTGTATATTAAAAACTAAACAAACAAACATATACAGTTCAAGTCGGAAGTTTACATACACTTTAGCCAAATACATTTAAACTCAAGATTTTCACAATTCCTGACATTTAATCCTAGTAAAAAATTCCCTGTCTTAGGTCAGTTAGGATCACCACTTTATTTTAAGAATGTGAAATGTCAGAATAATAGTAGAGAGAATTATTTAGTTCAGCTTTTATTTCTTTCATCACATTCCCAGTGGGTCAGAGGTTTGCATACACTCAATTAGTATTTGGTAGCATTGCCTTTAAATTGTTTAACTTGGGTCAAACGTTTCGCGTAGCCTTCCACAAGCTTCCCACAATAAGTTGGGTTCATTTTGGCCCATTCCTCCTGACAGAGCTGGTGTAACTGAGTCAGGTTTGTAGGCCTCTTTGCTCACACACGCTTTTTCAGTTCTGCCCACACATTTTCTAT